ATATTTGGGTTTAATATGTCACAGTTTACTTTATTTTGCTATCCTCACTTACATAAATGAACTATAGTGTCCTGCACCCACTAGTAAAAAAAATATAAAAAAATTATATCTGCTGTCTGAATAATTTTTCGGTTTGACTGTGTATAGTGAAATTGATTGGTTCACATTTTCACCCCGTTCACTTGTGGTGTCTTGCAAAAAACTACATTTATAAAAAAACCTTGATTATTGTAAAGTTCAAAATCCCACTTCAAGTCGTTGATTGACAGTCGATTCTCTTGTCTTCTCAGGGAGCGTTAACGTACTTCGCCCTGATAAGGTTTCGTCAGGGCGTTGCAGACGTGACCCAGAACTACGCCGATCCGCCAGCGGACCCCACTTCACCATATCCCACCACCTACACACCACCCACATATCCGTCCTTCCAGAACACCGGTCCAGACATCTTCCAGCAGCCGCCCATCGCACCGAACCCTGACCCATCCGGCCAGAGCAGCTACCAGCCGCCTGTCTACTGACCCCTGACCTGCACAGAAACCTGAAACACGACACCAGGTCACGTGACGCCGCAGGCAGCCAATAGGAGACTGTTTGGCATTTAACATGTGGCCTTAAAGGGATAGTTCACCCAAACTCTCTATATTCTGAAGGTATTTACTGAGGGGTTTGTTCATACATCATTTGCCTGATTTTATATATTTATTCCTAAAAACAGCTGAAAATGTATTTTTTTTTTTTTTTCTGGCTGTTGACAGTATTTTCTGAATTATGGAGTGATGTTTTGCTTCCATAACTTGTCTCCTTTCATACTAGTGGGAAAAAGCATCTAAAATACACATTTAAATGTTTATTTGATGACACTTTATTTTTTGTGTCTGTAAATATCAATTACAATGCAATTCTTTAAAGTCGCTTAAAATCGTTTTCTCAAAATGAGTTTTTTCTCCACTTCAGCAGCACTTACAAACATCAAAACTTACAGTTTTATTGCTATTTATATTCTGAAGGATTTTACTGAGGGGTTTGTTCATATATCATTAACACTGATTTATACAACATTTTATTCTTAAAACATGGTGAACATATATTTACTTTTTGTCTGCTGACAGTATTTTGATTTATGGAGTGATAAAAAGAGAAATACATAATCCCCTCTGTAAAAAACTTCAGAATATAGATGGGAATAAAACTGTAAGTTTTGGTGTATTTAAGTGCTGCTGAAGTGGAGAAACTCATGGCCTTTAAAGATATATACATTGTAGGGCTGTGCAATATATCGAAATATCGCAAATGTACATATCACAATATGCATATCGCAAAATGAAAATTCTGTCATTAATTACTCATGTCGTTCCAAACCCGTAAGACCTTCGTTCATCTTCGGAACACAAATTAAGATATTTCTGATGAAATCCGAGAGCTCTCAGACCCTGCTATAGACAGCAACGCAACTGAAATGTTCCCAGGTCCAGAAACGTAGCAAGGACATCGTTAAAACTGTCCATGTGACATCAGAGGCTCAACTTAAATTTTGCGAAGCTACGAGAATACTTTTTGTGCACAAAGAAAACAAAAATAATTACTTTATTCAACAATTCTTCTCCCCCGAGTTACGTCTTCCGCCATTTTGGAGAGTACCCCAAGTACGTAATCGACGTAATCAGCGTTGTTTACGTTCGGAGGAGAAGGCGCGTGCATGAACGTAATCTGCGTAATCAGCGTTGTTTACGCTTAGGGGAAAGCGTGCGGATGCATTGTGATACTCTCTAAAATGGAGGAAGACGTAACTCGAATTGTTGAATAAAGTCATTATTTTTGTTTTCTTTGCACACAAAGTATTCTCGTAGCTTCCCAAAACTGAAGTTGAGCCTCTGATGTCACATGGACTGTTTTAACGATGTCCTTGCAACGTTTCTGGACCTGGGAACATTTCAGTTGTGTTGCTGTCTATAGGAGGGTCTGAGAGCTCTCGGATTTCATCAGAAATATCTTATTTGTGTTCCAAAGATGAACGAAGGTCTCACGGGTTTGGAACGACATGAGTAATTAATGACAGAATTTTCAATTTGGGGTGAACTAACCCTTTAAATGTGTAAATATTGTTTTCTTACGTGGCTGTAGATGAGTTCAGATTTGCACTGATGAGCTGGAATAAAACGTTAAGTTATTGTGGAGCAGGTCTGTCGCTCACACTGGAATCACAGCAGCGCTTGTGTGTTTTGTTAACGTTTTCCCAGCTGAATGAGTAGGAATGTGGCGGAAACAAAAAGAGCCCATTGACCCCGTTTACTAATCGTGTTAGTGAATGAAGAGCTGGTGCGATTCACTGTAGAAATGCGGCAGAGTTACCAGATTACATGTTTAAACATCCAGTCAAGCTGCGATGGAGGTTGTAAATGAGGCTTTTATATGCTTCCAGATCTGAAAACATCTGATTTAATGTGGAAAAAACTGATTTCTTGTGTGGCTAGATCTGGTTTTGTTAGTGTCTCTCAATGTGAAAACATTCACTGATCCACATAAGCACACTGTGATGCTGATCTGTGGTGCTGTTTGATTCGTTTTTCTGGTTTATACAACATACAACATTGATTTGATTAAGTGTATTAATCCATTACACGTTCATACATGAGTATTTAAAAAAATAATCATTTCAGAAATTAATTGAATTATTTCCAATGTTTGTTTGATTTGCAGTTTGCTTAATGGGTTTAGCATTAGCTTTTTGTGCATCTTCAGATTACAGATTAGAAGTTTTTTTGTTGTTGTCTCAGTTTTCTCTTTAAGTGCAGCTAAAAACAAAAACAATGGTTTGTATTCTAAATAAAAAATAAATAAATGCAACCCCTTGGATATGAAATCTCATTTTTAGACATCTGTGAACAGGGTTTTTGTGAGTCTTGAAAAGTCTTAACCCTCTGGCCTTCTTGGGTCATTTTTGACCGAAAAATTTAATATTTTGAAATTTTAAAAATCTTAGCTTCAGATGACACTTGGTGACTTTTGTCACATTAGCAATATGAATACACACAAAAAATCACGGACATGATTCGGATATGTTAAAGGGTCAAAAAAAAAAAATAGTCACACTTGACTTCTTTGCGGTCAAAAATGACTGACATAGGAAATTAATGGGAAATACGAAAAAATGTTAATTTCTGTTCTGTTTTATTAACATTTTTGAATTACATTGAATAAAATATTAATTACAAAATGTTTGTATAAAGTGTTTTGAATTATCACTATCCATTCCTTATTTTGTTAGATTTTTTAATGATCAAATACTGAGTAACAAAAATGCTTTCTATGTGTTCCCTTTCTAACAAGATTTTAATGTTTGACTGTAATCATAATGTGAAACCTGATACTTATCTAACCAAAAATATCTAAACCTTGACAAAAAGTAGTCTTTTAGAATGTCTAGATATATATCTAAATGCAAAACCTAAAAAAAATGAAGAAATTATGTCTAAAAAAACTACGGGAATCCAAAAACCTCTGTATATATCTATTAGGTTACGCAACATTACACAAGTTTTTATTTTTTAATGCCTCTAGATGGCCCAATTCTCACTTCAAAAAATTTATTTTAAATGCCTTAAATTTTAATTTGAAATATTGCATTTATTAAAAAATAGTAAATAAATTAAAAAAATTATTCTAATAGAGAAAATAGCTCATTAAAATTGTATAAATATTGCATAGTATCATAAAATTCCCTCAAAATCAATAATAATCAAGTGAAATATAAGTAATATAATCAAATGATATACAAGTGCTATAACAAGTCTCAGTAAGCTTAACATAGTACACATAGCAAGATTTTTTTAAATATAATAAATAGAAAACAGATAGAAAAAGAATAGAGCAAGCTGGTGTTAGAGGTCTTTTTGCTTTAGTTAATTGTATAATAAATGAAAATTAAACTTTCTGCTTTAATTAAAAGCAGATTCATAGTCATGGCATTAAAGTTTGCATGCATTACCAAAAAATATTAATGTCTTCTTCAGCATTTTTGTTTTCCAGTACTAAACATCCTCAAATCAAGATACATTTACTTGAAATGCAAACGTAAAATGAAGTGAGTTTATGCTTAAAACAAGAACAAATGATCTGTCAGTGTGTAAAGAAAACTTGTTTTTCCTTTTAACCAAGTTGATTTTTCCTGAGACCATTAGCAGATATTAGTTTCAATCATAAACTCACTTCATTTTGATCAATTTTAACAGAAAGCAAGACTTGTGCGTTTCTCATCTAGTCGTCCAACGAACCCAGCATTTGTATGTTACAACTATTTTCGGCTCTTTGACGAATGACTTTTTATCCGGTCTTCAGCTAAATGCATGAATGTAAAATATTTCTGTTGTAACATGCACACGAAAAGCAACACTGAAAAACCAAAATCACTTTATTTACTCTCATTTTAATCATCATACATCACTGGTTGGCAGTTTTCCATGGTGTCAGCTGGTTGTTCGGTTACACAATTATAAATTAGTCTAAAATAGTTTAAATTAAAACGTGTACAAATGATCGACTCATTTTTAAACTGAAAATACAAACACACCATATTCTGCTGGACCCACTTTAAACTAAGGAGTTAAAGTTATATATACACACACACACACACACACAGAGAGAGAAATCAACAGCAAAAAAGGCATTAAAAAATGCAAATATCAAAATTCTCACTCTAGTGAGTTAAGTGTAGTAACAGTGTTACTGTAACACTGCAAAAAATGATTTTCTTCCTTAGTATTTTTGTCGTTTTCTAGTATCAATGTCTACAAATTCTGGAATTAAGATGCATTTACTTGACAAGTAAAATGACTGTTTTCTGGTAAAAAACAAAAAATTTTGTTAGTTTTTGCTTAAAACAAGCAAAAATATCTGCCAATGGGGTAAGAAAAATAACCTTAAGAATTTTTCTTAGCCCTTTGACATATATTTTGCTTGTTTTAAGCAAAAACTAACACATTTTTTTCTTCAAAAAGTCATTTTAATTGTCAAGTAAATTCAAGTTTATACTAGAAAACAAGACAAAACTACTAAGGAAGAAAATATTTTCTGTAGTGGTACGACTGATGTGTTATTCTCATAAATGAAGGGAAGTGAAGAGTTTTCGTGGAGCGCTTTGATTGGGCTGTTTTCCTGACATCACATGCGGCGGCGTCTCCTCTCTCTGCGGATCGCAGTTCTCTTTACACGCCACGAGACCTCCGTAACACGCTCGGCACACTGCGTGATACTTATCAGCGCCGCCGATCACCTCCACCTGAGCAAACCAAACACAAGACGCCGTGAGGTTTCACTTCTGCTGACAGGATGAGGATGTGACGCGGAGCACAAGTAAAGCTCAGCGTGTGTTTGTCCAGATGGAGATATTTTTGTCCTCACCTCTTGTTCAGCGCCGAGTCTTTTGGTGTAAGCGGCTTCTTTGAAGCACTGCATGCAGACGGCGTTCAGCTTGACCACGCTCTCCGCTAGAGGCACCAGATTCAGGATATTACCGAAGGCCTGCAGACACAAGGGTCGAAGGTCATCAACACTGCTCAATATTTATACAAACATTTAAATATATTCATATTTATATAAGGGTCAAATACGTTAAGATGTCCACATCAAAAGAAATGTATTTCATAAAAAGTGATTTTATGTCCATAGAAAGCACATTAAATGCAAATAAAGTGTCTACTTTTAAGGTTTCAAATAAGTTTTTGGAGAATAAAATGTTACAATTTGGTTGAAATAATGTTACATTGTCATTCAGTGTAACACTTATATTTATGTAAAAATCCTAACATGCTTATTCTGACGTGTACATATTAAAATATATTAAAGAATAAGAGAGCATATTACATTTTATTGTGTTTTAAATGAGTAAAAAGTTTCAAATAAGTTTTTGGAGAATAAAATGTTAAAATTTGGTTGAAATAATGTTACATTGTCATTCAGTGTAACACAATATTTATGTAAAAATTCAAACAACATGTTTATTCTGATGTGTACATATTAAAATATATAAAAGAATAAGGGAGCATATTAAATTTGATTGTGTTTTAAATGAGTAAAGATTCTTACTGACAAATGGGCAAAATCTAGGATAGTGGCACATTTAAAAAAATGTAAAATTACAGCTAATTAGTATTTGGGGTGAAAGATTAGTCTTTTAATGTGTCATAAATTGATTTTTGTTGTAAATATGCCTGACAAGATTGTTACACTGAATGAAGTTTTAGTGGCTCTCTTCTGTAAATCAGGGGAAAATGTATATTTATTTTTTGCTCTGAAAAACAAAAACAAAATTGCAATTAAATTAAACAGAAAACTTTTACATTTTGGGGGGGGGAGACGGACGGACATAAATTTAAAGCAGTATTACACTTGTTGTTTTTATGCTTAAACCCTTTTTCGTCTTTGACCCATAAATATATACATATTATATAAACAAATAAAAATAACTATTATAAACAATGTTTTTTTATAAATTATTAATGTATTTATGTAAATGTATACGAATATACATCTACAAATATACATTTATATATACAAAAATCTATATAAATGCTATATATAATTTTGTAGAAATACTTCTATACATAATTATGTGTACTTAACTTATATAAATACTATTCATTATACATTTTAAGAAATATAGATTACATACTCCTGTACATATGTGTGTGTGTAGTAGTATATTTTTATTTAATGCAGTGTCAGCATCAAAGGCTATTTTCATGGCAAAAGCGATTCAAAAATACAAATATAACAATACAATAAAAACCAGCAACAAACAAGTTATATTACACATACTACAAGTATATATTACACAATTTGGTTTGAACACATTTATATAAATATATCAATTAATAATGTAAATGTGTATATATAGAAATATTTATATAAACAAATATTTGTATAAACATTATAGAATTTTGTAGAAATATTTACATAATTGTGTATTTGTGTAAATATAAGTATATATAAACTTGTAGAAATATTAATATAAATAGTACTCATGTAAATATATTTACATGTGTGTATGTAACAAACACATCTATAAAATAAGCAAATTGTATAAATATGTATTAATATTTATATAAATAAGCAAATATTTATTTATTGTTATATAATTTTGTAGAAACCTATATAATTATGCATGTATTTACATAAATATTTACTTAAACCCATTTATATAGATATGCAAATAAATAATTGTTTATAAATATAAATTTTATGAATTTATATAAAATGGGGTAAAGAAAAACACAACCCAGATCTCTCATAATCGCACCTTTCTCTGGAAGGTTCCATCAAGTGCTGCTACTACGATGGTTTTTCCCATGTTGGCCATTTCCTCACAGAACTCAACTGTGTCTGGAAACTGCAAAAGCCAAACATCTCAATTAATAATCGGGACATTGTAATGCATAAAGTGAGCTGGATAATGACTGAAGCGAGTGGAACGGAAACATACAAACTGTCCCTCGTCGATGCCGATGACGCAGGCCTGCAGCGCCAGAGTCCGGACGTCTCGCAGACAGCTGGCAGGAACGGCCTCCATCGTGCTCCTGCAGCACAAACACACCAACCCCTCAGATAACAACACGTAACACACACACTCTCACAAACACTCACTCACTCACACAAACACTCACATACATACACACTCACTCACAAACACTCACTCACAGACTCACACACACTCACTCACTCTCTCTCACAAACACTCACTCACAGACTCACACACACACTCACTCACTCTCTCACACTCACTCACACACACACTCACTCTCTCACACACACACTCTCTCACACACACACTCCCTCACACCCTCTCATACACACACTCACTCTCTCACACACACACACACACTCTCTCACACACACTCACTCTCTCACACACACTCACTCTCTCACACACACTCACTCTCACACTCACTCACAAACACTCACACACATTCACTCTCTCACTCACACTCACTCTCTCACACACACACTCTCACACACACACACACACACACACACACACACACACACTCTCACTCTCACTCTCACACACACTCACTCTCTCACACACACACCAGCTGCTCTCTTACATGTCATGCGTGGCCATCCCCGTCTGAGAGTAGCGCATGTCTTTGGCGTATTTGACGAGAAGACAGGAATACTGAGCCACCTGAAACCTCCGCACGCGCCTCATCAGTTCAGTGCTGAACACACACACACACACATATTCATAATGCAATCAACACAATAATCCAGCTGATTTTATGATAACCTAATGATATGCATCAGAAAATGTGACATTAGTGCTGCTGCCTGGAGTCTCAAAGAGCCCTGATATCAGACTGACAGGAGTGCATGACATATTTTTGTTCATTTTGATTGATTTACTGTATTTTTCAGCAATGTGACCCCAAATAATGTCGTTCATACCCATGACTTTTCTGAAGAGTTAACCCAATTAACAAAAATGTTCTAAGAACGTCTGGCTAATGTTACAGTTACGTTATGAAAACATTATTTCAGAATGCTCTCAGAACAAACAAATGTTAAAAAAAAAACTTTTCTTGGTTATGAAACATTAAGTGAACATTACATTTGACAATTTTTGCAAACGTGACAGGAAACTTATTTTTTTTAAACTAGTTCGTATTAACGTTTATAAAAAGTTAGGTGAACGTCTAACTAACATGTTTTTGGAAAACGTTACATGAACAAATAATGCTAACATTTTGAGAACGTTTTAAAGAGCAGATAACCTTGAACGAGCGTTTATTTAACGTTAGTGGAAGAATGTTTGTTCATAACCTTAGCAGAACGTTTCCTGTTAGCTGTCTTTCATCATAAACCAAGTCCTCGGTGTTGTCAGTCGATTGTCTAACTAACTATCAACTTTAGAAAACTTTTATAGTGTTTACATAAAGAGTACTGATGGTTTCTAGCAACATTAGAGTCAATAAACCGATTTTCGCGCTAATTCCGCGTTGTCTTTGTGAACAACGTAACCGTTCTCGCACCAAACAACTGTATTTGGCGCCATTCGCTGAACCAAAACGCTGTTTTTACAGTTTATATCTTCATATTTCATAACATAACATAGCATAGGCGTACTGATGATTTTTCTTCATCCTCACCTTTTTCCTGAAAACATCGGTCCGAAAATAACCTGAGAGGATGACGAAGAGAGATTTATTATTGACATTTACAAAAGCCAATCCACAACAAAACCTAAAAATACCACCCTCGCTTTTCTAAAATATGCATATTATCTAAATATTATCTGCACATTAATATTGAGATAGTATCTGCTCACTAATCTGTACGACATAAATCTTCATCACTAACTTAATTGACATCACAGTTACCTGAATCTGTCCTCGTGTCTTCCGTGGGGAATTTGGTAAAAACTTCGCTACATTCAAGCAATCCATGTCTATTGTTTATGATTTATTTCTGACTATATCACATATAGTTGGACTTACAGAAAGATTTGAACATCGCGCCAGCGCCAGCGCCAGTGTGTCCTTTTATAGTAGCTGTGTCGTCACATCCCTCTGGACCAATCAGAATCGAGGCCGCGCGCAGCCGCGTTGATCTATAAAAGAACCGATCAGTCATTTTTTAAAATTTTTATTAATGCCAAGGTACCAAAGATAAAAGATAAAATATTAATATATATTTAGTAAATTCACTCGTCAAAATCCTTTATTTATTGTTTTTAAAAAACAGTATATCCAAACTATTTCACTTTCCAAGAATCTTAAAGCTGTTAAATTGATTTAATCTTTTTAATTTAATTTGTTCAAGTTTTCGTTTTGGGTATTATTTATTTATTGTTATATGCATGTATAAATGGTGCTTTGCGTGTAACAGCAGTGCGTTTATAAATCACTGACGTCACCGCGGCGGAAGTTCGAAGGGAAATCACGCACGCGGGAATGTGACACAAAACTTTTTTTTTTTTTTTCTAAATATTGTTAGCTTTTAATACCCACCGATCCAGCACAACTCTGTTATTAAATTAATCAAACAAACTGTTAACTATAGTTATGTCCATATCTATGCGGTTAACAGAATGACGCGTCGCGCATCACGTGACTTCCGCATTGCGTTTTAAAACTCTTAATTATTGACTGTGTGTCAACAACACTTGAGCTTCTCTCACTTGTGCTGTTTCAAAGGTCTCTAGTGCAGCAGAGAATATCATCATGAGCGACTGGAGGAAAATGAACAAAGACGTGAGTGTTTGACTGTCAAATTAATGATTATTTATCAAATACACAACACTAGAGTTTTGAAGAAGTGATTCTCGATTATGAAATGTGTTCATAAACTGCTAAACATTCGTTCTGGCACGTATAAGTGAGATATTTGATATATATATATTTTTTTTATTTATTAATAATAATTAAAAAGCATTTATGACAAGCAACTAAACTGCGTAGGAAGGAGGAAACTTGCTATATGTGACCTAAAAACTATTTACATGCTATACTTGGGATTTGAAAACTAGCTCACTATTAACTGAATGTGAGTATATACTTATTATAAACTGCAGTATATAGTTATTATTAAACAGTATGCAAGAATAAATGTTTCAGACATTGTTTTGATATGACTTGAAGTGTTTTATATTTTTATTTAAATTTTAGTTACATTTTTGTGTGTTTTTGTCATTTTTATTAGTTTTAGTTTTTATGGCTATATGTTTTTTATTACGTTTTAGTTTATTTAGTTTTTGTAATTTCATTACTTCAAATTAAAAATGTGAGAAAGAGAAATATTGCTTGAGCAACTAGCTGAAATAAATATTTTTATAATTATTTTATTTCAGCTAAAGTGTATTTTATTTCAAGTAATGATTTTTTTAAAATTATAATTTACCCTGGATATGATCTCACTGCTATGCATGTTTAATTTTATTTGTATTTTTAATTAATAACATTGTGTATATTTATTTGTTCTATATATTAATATAAAATATTTTACATTTTTTATTAATTTTTAATATTTTATTTTGAAATTTAAATATAAATAAATAAATAGATAGTATATAATAGTATTCTACATTATGTGCACTGTTTTATTCTGCACAAAATTGGTCCAAAATAATAAATCATCCTAGTATTGCATGCATACAGATAATTTGTATGTTGCATACTGCAGAAATAGTGAGTGTGGTGTGCTATTCCGTCATGTAAGTGTGCTGTAAGGACAGTGTCTCTCCAGCAGATGCCGCTGTGTGTTTGTTTATCTGTGCACTGAGGGTTTCTGGGTAAATGCGTGCCCGTCTGTGTTGTTTTTGACAGGAGCTGGAGCATCAGTTCTCTCCCAGCAGCTGGTCACACAGGATGTCCGCCGATGACGTGATCAGAGCCCATGTGGCCGCTCTCAAAGCAGGTGTGTGTGTGAGTGTGAGTGAGTGAGAGAGTGTGTGTGTGAGAGAGTGTGTGATTTCATTCATGAAACAGGGAAATAGCTCATCTTCATCCAGATACACTGCAAGAAAGACAGAAAGTAGATTATAAATGAGCTTTGAGCATGTGACCTATATCTGTGAGTCGCTCACTGGGATTGTGTGTGTGCTCTGTGGTGTTTGCATGAGCATGTGCAGTGACACTGAAATCAGAAGTGTGTGTGTGTGTGTGTGTGTGTGTGTGCAGGCACAGAGAAAGCTCGGTCCGTCACTCAGACTTTGCTGGACGTCCCGTACGGTGATGGTGACGGAGAGAAGCTGGACGTTTATGTTCCCAGCAGCTCTAGACCAGGTGCGCATGAGAACTGATTATAATGAGTCTCTAATTATCTAATAAACCTCAAAAAAATGAATTCTATTTGGAACTTAAATCTATTTTTTAAGACAATTAAGTCTATTTTAGGACCATTAAAATTTGAAGCATTGGCAGCGACAGTGGCATCTATTGTGCATTATTAAAAATATGTATTAAAATACACACACACACACACATATTTATATATATACACACACACACACACACACATATTTATATATTTATACACACACACATTAATAAATCAGCAATTCTCTGTAATTTTTCTATCCAGAAAACTGAACTGAAAATAGGTGTACTTTACAATTTAAATTAAATTCATTTTTATATTAAAATAATAATAATATAACATTACTATATATTAATAAAAATGAGAAGAATCAAAATAATGAAATAAAAATTATATTTCAGAAATTAAGTCTTTAGAAAAAAAATAAATAATAATAATAATTAAGCCTGTTTTAAGCCATTAAGATTTGCAGTATTATAATGACAATTAAGTGCATTTATTGTGCATTATTATAAATATGTAATAAAATGCAATAAATAAATCAGCAATTCTCTGTGCATTCTATTTTCTTTCTATTCAGTACTGAAAACAGTCAAGAATTGTATGCATACAGGTGTACTTTTATTTAAAAAATATATTAAATGTTATTACAAACTATTTTCTTTTATGTAACACTTCTGTATGTTTTTTGTGAGATTTGCTCATTGTAGATCATTTAGATGTTTAATTTCTGTCTGCTAAAGCTTGTAAAGTTCCGTCTGCTGTTGAATACAAAGCTCTGGTGTGTTTTTCTGTCATCAGCGGCTCATTGCTGACTGATTGACCATGTGATGTGTTTCAGACGTGCCGCTGGTCATTTACTTTCATGGAGGATACTGGCAGTTCCTCAGGTCTGATCCTCATTTTTCTCTTCATTTCTATGTCCAGGGACATTTTCATGTGATTTCCAAATCAAATATCAGTGTCAGAGACAGCAGAGCTTCACATTTGCATTGAGACTCACAACAGTGGCATGTTGTGTAATATAATAATCAGCATAAAGGCCTTGAGAATGAGAGTTGTGACTGTGAATTAAAATGCTATTTATTTATTTATTTAAAGCTCAGGTGTGCTGTGCTTGTTTGTAGGGCTTATTAAATAAAAATATTAAACACTGTAAAAAAAAAAAAAAAAAGTGTTTAGGAAAAATAATTACAGCTGAAAATGTTAAAATGAACAGAATAATGAATAGACAAAATAATTATAGTTAATAGAATAATGAATAGACAAAATAATTAGTTAATAGAATAATGAATAGACAAAATAATTATAGTTAATAGAATAATGAATAGACAAAATAATTAGTTAATAGAATAATGAATAGACAAAATAATTATAGTTAATAGAATAATGAATAGAAAAAATAATTATAGTTAATAGAATAATGAATAGAAAAAAACTAAAATAAAAAACTATATAGACATACAGTGGGTACGGAAAGTATTCAGACCCCCTTAAATTTTTCACTCTTTGTTATATTGCAGCCATTTGCTAAAATCATTTAAGTTAATTTTTTTTCCTCATTAATGTACACAGAGCACCCCATATTGACAGAAAAACACAGAATTGTTGACATTTTTGCAGATTTAAGAGGATCTGCAAGGAGGAATGGCAGAGGATCCCCAAGTCCAGGTGTGAAAAACTTGTTGCATCAAAAAGACTCATGGCTGTATTAGATCAAGAGGGTGCTTCTACTAAATACTGAGCATTTTTCAGTTTTTCTTTTTTAATAAATTTGCAAAAATGTCAACAATTCTGTGTTTTTCTGTCAATATGGGGTGCTGTGTGTACATTAATGAGGAAAAAAAATTAACTTAAATGATTTTAGCAAATGGCTGCAATATAACAAAGAGTGAAAAATTTAAGGGGGTCTGAATACTTTCCGTACCCACTGTACATAAAAATGACAAAAATATACAAGAAAATGACTAAAATGTAATTAATAAACTTAAAATGAAAAAAAAAAAACATTTTTGTTTCTTAAAAATAAAATAAACAATTAATAATATAAAATTTTTTTTTTAGAAAACCTAAGCTTATTTTTATTTCAGCTAGTTAAATTAAAAATTATTAAAATTGGAAAAAAAATGGAAGAAGACGAAAACATACAACAAAATTACTAGAACTTAAATAACTAATAAACTTAAAATGAAAAGTGGAAAAAACAACTTTTTTTTTTAACTGGAATTTAAAAAAAAAAAAAAAAAAATAAAATAAAACAAAACAAGAAAAAATGGAACCTATTTTTATTTCAGCTAGTTAGCAACATTTCAACATTTCTCATTTTCGATAGGTTTATCTCAAAAGTACTAAAATTTATAAAATCTATATAGACATTAAAAAAACAAAAAACACCTAAAATTAATAAAAATGACAAACATATGCACCAGAATTACTACAACTTAAATGACTAATAAACTGTCTTTTCTCATTTTGCTCAGTTTAATTTAAAGTACAAAAATAACTAAAGGTAAAACTGAAATAAAAATTATATAAGCATTTTTTTTTAAGTAATTAAATAAAAATGATAAAATTCCCCAATAAAATTACTAAAATGAAAACGGAAAATGTAAAAATGAAAAACGAATTGATAATGTTAATGAACACTGTAATAAGACCTGAATAATAACCCATGCTCTGGTTACAGTAAGAACGAGTCTGGGTTTCTAGCCGTGCCATTGGTCCAGAGGGGTGTGGTCGTGGTTGCCGTGGGTTACAGCGTCGCTCCTAAAGGTACAGCCCACAGAGAGGATAACGGGGAGTGTCCGACTCTGCGAGTGTGTTGTTTATGTGTGTTTATGTTGGTTTATTTAGGGGATATGGATCTGATGGTGTCACAGGTGCGCAGGAGCGTGGTGTCTGTCGTCCAGCAGTATTCACACATCAGGTCTGTTCATATGTGAGGTGAGGTGGCTGATGGGATATCTGTGCTTCATGGCGTCTCTCTGTCGCTCTGCAGTGGTCTTTATCTGTGCGGTCATTCGGCAGGAGCTCATCTGGCCGCTATGGTTCTGTCCACCGACTGGACACAGTACGACATATCACCGCAAATCAAAGGTACATCTGCTTTAAAAACACTCCTGCTCTTAATCTGCAAGCACTTAGAATTAACCCTGTATAGCCTGACATATGAAATAATAGATTTGGTTTTTAAATGGAACAGATTTAGATGAAATATGTGACCCTGGAGCACAAAACCAGTCATAAGGGTAGATTTTTAGAAATTGAGATTTATGCGTCAGCTGAAAGCTGAATAAATAAGCTTTCTATTGATGTATGGTTTGTTAGGATAGGACAATATTTGGCCGAGATACAACTATTTGAAAATCAGGAATCTGAGGGTGCAAAAAAATCAAAATACTGAGAAAATCATCTTTAAAGTTGTTCAAATGAAGTTCTTAGCAATGCATATTACTAATCAAACATTAAGTTTTGATATATTTACGGTAGGAGATTTACAAAATATCTTCATGGAACATGATCTTTACTTAATATCCTAATGATTTTTGGCATAAAAGAAAAATGTATAATTTTGACCCATACAATGTATTGTTGGCTATTGCTACAAATATATACCTGTGCTACTTATGACTGCTTTTGTGCTCCAGGCTCACATATAAAGGAAAATCGAAAGTGTTTTGTATCATATTTGATCCATCAGGCGTTAATATAGTCTGATATAGTGAGAAAACAGCTCAGTTTTAATCAGAGACTCATTGATTTATTCTCAGGTGCGTTTCTCGTCAGCGGCATTTATGACCTGCAGCCCATTCTGTCCACCTACGTGAACGAGCCGCTGAAGATGACCGAGTGAGAGACTCATTTTTATGCAAAGTCTTTGAAAAGATGCTGCTGTTATTCTTAAAGATCAGAAAACATTCCCTAACCAGCCGCAATAACTCGGCTTTGTTACATCACGCTGTGAAGCTCCGCCCACAGTGGAATCTCATTGGTCCTGTGTATTAAACATGCTGTTATGGTTTGTTTCAAACCAAGTTAAGGATCTCAGTGATACAGCGCGAGTTTGTGTTTCAGGGAAGTGGCGATTAGGAACAGCCCCAGTCACTTCCTGCCGCAGCTCAAGCGCTCGTCCACTTCCTGTGACATCATCGTCGCCGTCGCGCAGAACGACTCGCCCGAGTTTCGCAAGCAATCGGAGGAATATTTCAAAGTACGTGTGAAATGCTTCACAGAAATCGTGACATTTACTCTCAGACGTTATTATTTATGCACGTTATCAAACACTGTATATGGAGGAATTTGTCTTTAATTTTATATTTTGAAGTCGATGTTGTTGTTGTTGTTCTAGGCTTTGGAATCTGCCGGTCTTAGAGTCTCTTTTGAAGACGTTCCCAACACGGATCACTTCAACATTATAGAGCAACTCGTCGATGAAAATTACCGTCTTACTAAGGTTAGCTGCTCATGTCAGGCCTGCATGCATTATTTAATGAAAATAACAAATTGCAAATTTTACTTACTTGCTTTATTTATTTATTTATTTACTGATAAATTGCGATTGTGGCTCAAAATGAATTTTTTTAAAGCTTCTGATTTGCTGTGCTTGTTTGGAGGGCTGCACAATTAGTGAATAAGTAGATAAATACATGCATAATACATTATTATTATTATTATTATTAATAATAACAGTATATTATAATTACTTTTAATAATAATAATAATATTTAACTATGCATTTATAATAATGCATTTAATATTTAAATATGCAACATATATTATATTAATAATAATAATAATAATAAATAAATAGAAATATTAAACCAAATAATATTTTTATTTTTAATAATAAAAATAATATTACTATTGTAACATTTCACTAATTTTCTGATATTAATATAAATATTAAATACTAATATTTAATTTAATATTCATTACAATAGGGATACTTTTATTATTATTGTAATATTTTACTGTAAAATCAACCTATATGAGAAAAATAAAAAATCTTTTTTTTAATTTACAGTACAACTGTAACAATACTAAATACAACGAATTAAATAAATTACTAATTATATGCTACTAAGTTACAACAATGCTAGTATTTATGATTGTCCTAATTTCTTTAATTTTAACTTTAAGCCTTAATTTCAGCTGGAAACCTCAGGAGGCCCTTAAAGCTTCTCTTTTGTTTACAGCCATTTCTAAATGATTTTTAATGACAGGTTTGGGAAGATGAGCTGATTATGAGCCATTGTCGTGTAAATGAACACAACGTAGTGCGTATATTTATTTAATTAAATCTTAGCCTTTGTAAATTTGCTGTTTGCACTAAGCCGTAACGTGACTTTATAGGTTTATTTTGATGAATCGTGCGGCCCAATATGTGTTACTGATCAGCGTTTCATATCTTCTAAAGCTCCTACTAAAGATGATGGGGAAAGTTGACGATCGTCAGATTACCCAGAATGCACTGCGCTGGAACAGACCTGTGAGTTGAGCTCAACGAGACCTCACTCTTTGTCCAATCAGACACTAGTATTACATGTTTTACATTATTATTATTGAGACAGCAGCAGTGTATGTCGGTACATTCAAGTTTCTACTAGAAGAAAATGACTGTAAACGTCTTTAAATGGTTATTTAAATGAAAGTGGCACACAGATGTGCCATGAATCAGTTGTTGATCATATAAAATCACATTTAAATATAGCAAATATTTAACATTTAAATGATTCGATTTGATTGATGGCACTGGAAACAACTCTCGCTCTGCATTGTTTAAGTTGCACAGATGTATTTGTTTTAGGTTTTATTGAATCGGCACAGATTAAACAGGTTTAACCCGGTTTCTTGCCCTGGTCAGACATGTTTGGTTTGTTGTTGTTAGCTAGTCAAACCGAAAGCCACTGGTTTACGCATTTTTAGCAAGGAAACTGTATGTGAATATGGTGTTTGTGTGTGTTTTGAAGCATTTCCAGTTCAATAAAATGCTGAGGAAAAAAAAAATGAACACATTCGTTGTGATTAATGTTGCTTGTTCATGTCACAGCAGGCCGGTCCAGCAGATAATGGAGATATTGTTTATAAAAAACAACACAGTCTCTGTATTGGAGGACTGGTATTATACAAAACATTAACACAAGACAAACCCACTTTTGTACTCTATGTACACTTATAATATCCATTTTAGGATCATATTACGACAAACTGTAAATACACTGCACCCAAAATTACTTGACTAGCTCATGAATATTAATTAGGTTACGCCGCCGTTCCTGCTTGGCCATCTTTCCAGTTGCGTAACCTAATTAATATTTAAAAGCGAAGTCGCACTGTGATTCTTTGATTGGCCGGCTAACTTAGCGCTCGCTTCCCGACGTCTGCTTTCAACCAATCGGCGAAACGGACGTAGCGTTGCGTAGCGTAGCGTTGCGTTTCATGGGCGGGGCTTCGCGTTACCGGTGTGTTGGCAGCCGGCGGTTCGTTTCGGTCTGAACGGCCGAGGAAACGGTGCCAGAACCGGGATGAAATACCGCCTTAACACACGATACTAAACTTCCGCATCGGACTGAGAAATACAGTAAGTATATGATGCAATTTGAAGAACATTCAGGAAATTCAGAGCGTTTCGTCTTCAGCCGCATAAAGGGTTAAATCCGGGCAAAAAACTGCCGGGAGTTACTTCAGTCTAACGTGTTTGTTATTAAAATTTAATTGTCCAAGAAAATCAATATATTATCGGCTGACTCACTAATAGCAAAAACAGAAATGTCTAAACGCTCATAAGTTTCGTTTATAACAGTGTAAAAGTCGTATGGATGCGAGGTTAATATTGAAAAAACTCTGAATTAATGTATTAATAATAATACGTTGAGAAGGGACAAACATTAAGAAGGCTCAAATCCTCCAGAATGGCTATTTGTGAGGAGAATATGCTGTGTGTGTGTGTTTGTGAGTGAATTGTATAAATAAAGCTGCGCGTGTCTGCCGGAGTTTCCGCGCATGCGCAGACCGGGGCACTTCCGGCTGTTAAAGTTAAAGCATGATGATGATGATGATGATGATTTAAAGCGGCTTTGGTTGAACTCTCCCACTGCGGTAATTCAATAGCATTAATACTCCGAGATGCTCTGAGTGACAAGCATTAAAGCATGTTCATGCTGACTTGCAGTTAAAGTTAAGTGTTATTAACTTATTATTAATAGTATGAACAAATGCATCAAGGGTTGCAAGATTTACAGACCCAAAGATTTTGTTAGCAACGCTTTATAATAACTATCTAACATTACTGCAACATGAAATAATCATCTATATATAACATGCATGCATATAAATTTCATATGACTGAATTATTAATAAATGAATATATCATACACATAATGAATTAATTATATATCATTCTAATTATACTGGATTAATTAAATAAATAATAACTACACTAATATAGTGCATTTGTTTGTTAATTAACAGCTACTGATCTGATAGTATAATAGAGTATATAAAGTATTAGCAGAATATTATAGTTTTACTAGTATGTTTCTAGTTGAACTCTGTCCGCTGCTCTCGTCTGAATGGATCAGACAGAAAGAGATCTGCATGTTTAGTCTCGTTTGCAATCATTTGCCAAACAAATCAGCTTTTCTTCGAGAGAAACCTGACCGCAGACTCACACACAAAAACAGTCGGTAGAATTCATTATTAGTCTTTAATCTGCGGGTCGGTCCTGAGCACAAATAAACCCTTAATGCCTGGTTTCACGTTTCTGACGGTATTATGGCTTTAGAGAAGAAATGCGGTGTTGAGAAGTGTTTAATGTGGTTTATAGCCGTAACCTCAGGTCTGAGTCTGAAGGTTAGTGAGTGTGCAGTAGGTTAGGGTTCAGTATTTGCCTCGTCACTGCGGCTCAGTGATCTCAGAAGATGATGACTGAGGAGCGCTGGGAGAAACTGATAATAAAACACACTCGCTCTGAATGAATGAGACAAACACCACACATGAGGGCCAGAAAGAAAGGTTCGTGTTATTCCTCCGTTATTCATTACTATTCACAATTATTGAGCATGTTTGCTTAAAGGTGAAGAACCTACTCAATGTATGTTTTGCAAGGTTCCCCTTTCTGTTAAACATATTTTATTGAACACAACTTTTATGAACTCACTTAAAGAGTTATTTAGTAAAATTCTGCCAGGAAATGTTTTAGAATTTTTATCACATGCTAATGTAAAAAAATCTTGTTTGATATAACTTGTGTTTGTTTGTTGGTTTTTATTGCATTTGTTATATTTCTTTTATTGTTTTTGCCATGAAAATAGCCTTTGATGCTGACATGGGATTAAATAAATATATACATACTATATTGAGAAGGACGAGTTTAGTTGAGCTTTGGTTGAATATCTGTTGTAAAACTGATCTAAGCTTCTAATGCGAGTTTATTCTTATTTTGTAGGAAGCTAAATTATGTAGTGAAATAATTGAGTATTTTTTATTTTATTTTAATGTGGTCCAGAAGTTTGACTCTAGTAGTATAAAAACGGTTCTGTGTGTTTGCAATTTAATTACTTTTTGTTGTTATTGTTTTTAGCAACTTTTGATTTGCATAACCGTTAGAGAGAAACATTTAGCTAAAAACTGAGTATGAATTGTATCTGTTTTGCTTTTTACTCATTTATTTTGAATTGTTTGGTGAATTTTATGAATTACAAATGATTTTTGACTTATATTTAGCGTCTGTTTGTGCTGGGCTGAACTTGATGAACAATGTTAATTGTTGTATAATTGCTTATTTTGTTGGACTGGTTAGTTCACAGGTAATCTCTCTCACCTTTCACAGGTAAAGTCATGGTTGCCGTGTCAACGATTACATACATTACAAGTGTGCTGTGATTGTTTGAAGCTTCATGTGTGTCTAGTGACCTTCAGATGTTTTCCGGGTTAGATTAAAAATGATCCAGATTCTAATTTGATTAATTGTCATTTTGTAGGAAACTAGATTATTTAATGAAATAATGGACTGAGTAATTTTTTTTATGTTTATTTTATTTTATCGTAGTCCAAATGTTTGACACTAGCAGTGAAAATACTTTGGTTTTGCATGTTTTTATTTAATTACTTTTTTTATTTTTTACACATTATGATTGGCATATCCGTTTAATATGCATTTTTATCCATTTTGTGTTTATATGTACTATTTTAAAAGCTTATTTTATGAAGATTTTAGCTCATATATTAATGTGTTTCTAGTGTCTTTCAGACGTGTTTCTATGTTAAGAATGATCCAGTGTTTTCTGTTTTCTCCACATTTTTTAATTAAATCATGAGAGAGAAAATATAATTTTACTTGTATGTAATTGTATTTCTTTAATTTTTAACATTTTAATGTTACATATAGGCTATGTATAATATTAAGATAGTAATAGATATATAATAAATTACTAAATAAATTAATAAAATAAAATACAATATTAGTATCTGATCTGGTATAATATAATGTAGAAAGTATTACTATGTGTTACTAAAGGGTTTCTATGTTAAGGATGACAAAACTTCTAATGTGAATTAATTCTAATTTTTTAGGACACTCAATTATTTAATTTAATTTAATGAATACTGAGTATTTTACATACAATGTGGTCCAAAAGATCTGACACTGCTAGTGAAAATTGTTTGTTGTATTCCTCATTTGTAAGTCGCTTTGGGTAAAAGTAAATGTTAAAGGTCAGCTGTGTGTTTTATGAGGGTTTGTGTGATTAGGAGCCACAGTGGCGTGTAATTTCTTAATGAAGCATGTCGTAATGACTCAGGCAGGTTGATAAACCTGAACTCTCTCGGGATGGGATGTTTGCTGTTGTTTCAGCATCTGTTGTTTCGTTTTGTGCATGTCTGGGAGATGCTGAATGCTTTGCTGCATGGGGAAAAATGCAAACAGGTTTGGTTGTCCACCTGATTTTCATTATTTCATGGATGTGCATGCATTGTTTGGGCGTTTATTTGAAATGCATTGAGTCAATAGTTTGCTGATGTGTTTTGTGTTAGTTCAGACCAATATAAACTCAGCATGTTAATGCAGAAGTCAGTGTTTGATAGGTGACTGTTATGTGTGTTTAAGGCAAGAAACTGTTAGTAGGGTAAAGCACCATACTTCCACAGTAAGGTAAAAACGTAACACTCTACAATAATAACAGTGCATGAATAATCATCTACTAATACGTAAATTATATATTTTTTTAATATGAGCTAATGATGAGTATTAGTGCATGATTATTCATGTACTGTTATTGTAGAGTGTTACCAGTAAAATGGTATCACCATCCTGACCCAGTTGATTAATTAGAGTACATTAACGCAATTGTTTTGTATTACAAGTTTTCTGAAATGTTATGTTTAAATATGCACTCATTTTCATTCATTTCCAGAACATATATCTGAAGATTGGATAAAGCCAGATTCAAAATTCATGTTTGACTTTGTTGACATATTAGACTTAAAGGTTTTTACTGAGGGGATTTTGGATTTCTCCTTTTATCACTCCATAAATCAGAAAACACTGCCAACAGATAGGAAAAAAATTCATTTTCGCCATGTTTTTAAGAATAAAATGTTGTATAAATCAGCGTGAATTAAATATAAACAAACCCCTCAGTAAAAACCTTCAGAATATAGAGAGGAATAAAACTGTAAGTTTTGGTGAATGTAAGTGCTGCTGAAGTGAAGAAACAAACTAATTTTGAGAAAATTACTAATGAAATGTACTATAATTCATATCTATGGCAAAAACGTTTTTTTTTTTTTTCTTGCACAGTTTTAAGTCAGTTTTAAGATTTTGTTCTACTTTGCTCTCATAACATGTCTACTTTGAGACTAGAGGAAAGAAAACATCTAAAATACACATTTAAGTGTTTATTTTATTGCACTTTTTCTATTTGCGTCTGTAGATTTCAATTCCAATACATATCTTTAAAGAGTTTTTCCTCCACTTCAGCAGCACTCACATACACCAACCTTTACAGTTTTATTCCTCTCTATATTCTGAAGGTTTTTACTGTGGGGTTTGTTCATATTTCACTCACACTGATTTATACAGCATTTTTATTTCTAAAATCATGGTGAAATTGTTTTTTCTGTCTGTTGACAATATTTTCTGATTTATTGAGTGATATTTTGCTTCCACATGTTAATGGAAAGAAAACATCCAAAATACAATTTTAAGTGTTATTTTTATTACACTTTATCTATTAACATCTGTACATTTCAATGACAATTAATTTCTTTAAAGTCACTTAAAGTCGTTTTATTAAAATTAGTTTGTTTCTCCAATTCAGCAGCACTCACATACACCAAACTTTACAGTTT